ATCGCGTCTCATCGGCAACTCATTAACCATAATTTAAGTCATTATAGAGTTGCGTATTATTTTTACGTTAGACGCCTGTTCTTTAAACTTCCTATATCAAGTTAGAAGTTAGGACATCTACTGCTCTTGGGGCATAGGCTCCCGATCAGGAGTGTCCTGACAACTCCAATTTCCTCTCCAGAACAATAAAAATTCGGGAAGACAGGAATACATACCTTTGCCTCATCGTTTTCTCTCCCTGTGATAGTAAAAATGAAGGTTTATTTAAGATGATAGTGGCTAAACTAGACACTGGATCGAAGGTTCGTGATTACCTTTGTAAGCTGAAGTCAAACAAACATAAAAAGCGTAGTAATTTCATCTTGCCAAAAGTGTTTAATATAATCAATTTGCACAAAGCTCTCAATGTTTTTCGAAAACTGTATGATTAACAGTCATGAGATCTTAGTATTCGTTATACTTATCTACAAATACCCAAGGAATACGACGATATCTTGTTTATTCCGACAAAGCAAATGTCACACACAAAATGTAAGACGCGGTTTCAGAAATTAAAAGTCAGCTCAATTGCAATACACCTGTATGTAGGATACAGCGACCTAATGAGTATGAACCATGTACAAATTTCCCGTTCAAATGCTTTGGAGACAAAACGACTTTACATGAGTCACGTGCATTGTTACTGATATGTCGAAACGTGACATATACTTATTCGTATTGCGAGTGGAATAATGACAAATGTTTGTTATGAAAGGTGGGGAAATCGCTGTTTGTAATGTTACTCATATTGGTCAACATCATACAGAAGGACATTTCAATATTTTTGTATACCCACCCGTTACAATAGACCCTTCATGAAAAACTTACTCTTACGTATTCCATTGAGAAGGGGAGGTGATATGATGGGATTAAAAAGCTAAATTACATTTCTTCCTCATTGTGATTATTATTCAACATTACTTCCGTTTTAATTCAATGTGATAATTACTCAATGCAGTATTTGTTTTGTTTTTCTGTATGGTATTCTATTCTGTATAACATTAATTTGAGTGTGACGTTTGTTCAAGATACGACACTCTTGCATTGAATTAACATGAACTGTGATCAGCATGACATGAAGCATGTGATTTGTTATATCTGTCAGTGTTTTTAGCTTATGTGATTTCATCCTAATTAATAATGAAAATGGGTTTAGCATCAATATATAAACAAGTGTATTTCCGACTAGGGTCGTTGTCATGTTTTGGGATTACTAAACCTCTACTTGTATCATTCTTATTGTTCTTACTCCATGTTGTAGCAATTGCAGTGGTTCCTCGTTTTAAAAGTGTAAGCAATAAGCGACTCTGGCATAACATTCCACTGACTGTAAATTATGTGAACTACTCAGTGATGAACCATGCACGAATAAAAATGATTGCTGATGATTCCTTTGAACTTGCATGCGCGCTTACTGTGAATCACAGATATAGTAAGTTTAGTAGTGCTCATCTAGATCTACCAGCTCTAAATTGCACTATTTCGGGAATCTTTTGTTAGCGTATTAATTCGAATATCTTTAATTGTCATAAGTATCCCAATCTCCAAATTTTGGGTAAGACGCTTTCGAAAGTTTTGAGAAAGTGGCACCGAAACTCCAAAATTTAGGCTGAAAATAAAAAAATATATAATATATATGAATATAAGTCACACGAGAATAATCACGTCTATAAGGACATGCCTTTGCTTTAATTTGAATTTCACCTGAATTTCCTCGCCTTCATCATCAGTGACCTTCTCTCAGTGTTCCGTGTTTAAAGTCTATTTTCCCAGTAATCTCATGCTCAACTTTGAGGATTCTGGCTATGATCCGATGCCACTACATGTCTTCGTTCATCGCGACTGACTTCGATGACCTTTATAAACAGCATACGAAGGACCCTTCGAAGTTCTTCAGCGTGAACCTAAGTACTATACCATCGAGAAGAACGACTCTAACAATAACATCTGCATCGATCCCCCCAAAGTCGCGTATTACAAAAGAAATCCTATTCATGCTGATTTTCCTCCAGTAAATTCGAAAGTCACGATTATCACAATTACGATTTTCTATCTGATAATCAACAACTACGACAACACTTCGTGGTATCTGACAACTGCTTCAAAAGAACGTGTTCTGAAAGAAGCATAAGGTTTCCGGAGCATCTTAACGATGATCACACGTAAGATACAGCATAACTTTTTGTTTCGTCTCGGGTTATTTTGCATAGTTGTGTCACAAAAACGAACTATTTTTAATGCGCTCATATTTACATTTATTTTTCAATTCCAAAAAACAAATGTTTTTGTTGGTAATATGCTTGCTTATATGTGTATATTTTTATTTTTTCAAATAAAATAATCACTGTACAAAAATCGTTTCTACGCCTCTGCATGTTTGCAAGATGCATGTACATGTGTTTATTTTACTTTTAGCAAGCTATCAGAAGTGTTTGCCAATGACAAACTCGTTAGGATCAAACTTTTGGCTGGCCGCGTCTTGGGTCATCACTAGGCCACGAGGAGGGAGCGATCTGTAGTGATAAATAAATACCCAAAATCCATAGCTTTGTAAGTCTTCAACATCTGATGCTGACCACATTAGTTTTAATGGGCTCACCTAGCTGAAGGTGCTCGGTCACTCATCCGCACCAGACCTCGAGTGGGCACGCTGTGCTCAACTTCTCCTACAACCGCCAACCAGTCACTCCTCAACATGTTGATAGCCTATCAAACACAACTTCGAACCTCCTTGTTTCTGACAACTGATTTTACTGGGTTGGCACGTTTCGATTACAGAAGGTGGTACTGGTTAAATTGTTGTCAAACACAAAACTACACGCAAATAATTACGCCGTTCTATTTTGTAATTTGTGGAAGCCCCAAACGGTGGTTAGGGTAATAGCATCCTATTCTGAATCATTCGAGAGAAGGCTTGACAATTGCTATGACTTTGAAGATGACACAGGTATTCAGTGTCCGACAACGCTTCTACCAGTAATACCTCCTAATATGATTTGTACCCACCGAGAGAAATCAAATGACACAGTCGAGGAGATCGGAAGAGTGTATTTGGCGATAACCAAAATATCGGAATTCTCTGATCTAATCTGGCTAGTGATTGCGGTTGATGTTGAGCACGGCGTTACCACACGTGATCTGGTGCGGATACATGACCGAGCGCCTTCAGCTAGATGGGTCCACTAAAACATATGGTCAGCATCCAATGTCGAAAACTTACAGGGCTATTTATTTTGTGGGTTTACTTACCGCTACAGATCACTCCCCCCTAGTGGGTTAGTGATGACCCTAAGAGGTGGCCAGCCAGAAGTTTAAACCCAGCAAGTTTGTCGTTGGTAAACACTCTTCTGATAGCTTGCTAGGATTAGCAGCGTCTAGTCGTCATTCCTTACTATATGGGACCGAGGTACAACATAGTAAAAAAAGAAAATGTACAATGAAAATTTCACTTCCTCATAAACGCCATCGTTCTTTTCCAGCCGTCCTGGAAAAGAAAAAAGAACATGTAAGTGCATGTCGAAATACACTCGTATGTGCGTAAAAACACAATGTCGGCGAAAAAAGATTGGAATCTGAACTAATTTACACGTAATATCGTTAAAAAATTGGTTTTTTTGGAATAAAAAATAAAAATACATAGGCATATTAAAATTGTATTTTTTTAAAATAAATATATATCGTAAAAAGAAAGACCGAGATAATATTCAATGTCTAGTAGTGCCTTACGTGCAATAGTCGTTTAAATGCTCTGAAAATCTAACTCTTTTTCCAGAACGCGTCGTTTTAAGTTTATTTTCAGATACATTCGAAGTATCATCGCCAGTGTTGATTGTCGGTTGAGGAATTATGAGTGGATAGGATTTCCTTCTAAATACGCTGCTTTGAGGCGATCGATGCTGATGCTATCGTTGGTTCCGTTCTTATCGATTATATAGTACTTCGGTTCGCGTTGAAGAACTTTGAAAGGTCCTTCGTATGCTGATTCGAAAGGTCGTCAATGCGAGTCTCGACGAACAAAAACGCGTGTACTATATCGTAAATCAGGTTGAACGAAAACATCAGTTGATTGAGGTCGAGTGGAAGCACCTTTAACTGAACGCATTGCGTTTGTAAGCCTGTTCGTGTAGGAGGTTAGATCCATGTTCATTGAAGAGGACGAAGGATCCACGAATTCTCCTGGAAGTCGAAGTGTCGTTTCATAAACGAGTTGAGTCGCAGTGTATCCAATGTCAGCTTTCACTGCATTGCGGATACCTAGTAAGACGAGTGGAAGAGCGTCGGTCCACTGTGAAACGTTTGCAGCCGATAGTGAAGCTTTTAGTTGTCGGTGAAAGCGTTCTACCAACCCGTTTGCTTGTGGGTGGTAGGCAGTCGTTCGGAAGCGAGTGGTTCCTAAAAGTGTGGTCAGACGACGGAAAAGTTCAGATTCAAACTGACGTCCGCGATCTGTAGTGATGGTTGAAGGGCAGCCGAAGTTTGCCACCCATCGTTCGACGAATGTGCGGGCCACTGTTTCAGCGGTGATGTCCTTGATAGGTACTGCTTCTGGCCATCGAGTAAAACGGTCTACGCAGGTCAAGAGGTAAGAGTATCCATTTGAATATGGTAAAGGTCCTACCAAATCCAGATGAACATGGTCGAAACGAGCATCGGGAGTTTTAAATGCGCCTAAGGGACATTTATTGTGTCTGATAACCTTAGATTTTTGGCAGCTTACACAGGAGCGTGCCCACTCCCTCACGTCTTTATTCATTCCAGGCCAGCAAAACCGTTCTGCTATAAGTTCGGTGGTTGCACAGAGGGTGATCTTATCCGCAACGCAACCATGTAAACTTAATGTATCGCACACTGTCATTTGTGGCAGCGCTCCAGAGGTATCGCGACACTTTTTTGCGCTACTTTTTCATTTCTGTTTTGTGCACAACCAATTTTTGAAATTAATTACGAATAAATTTGAAAGTCTACTTTCCGTTTTCATAATTAAGTGAAAAGGTATTTTTCCATTTTGCGTTACATGGTATCGCGAAATCCTTGAAAATTCATTATTCAGGTGCTGCTATAATAGTTTTTTCGTGTTTACATAGCAGACTAGCAATTATTTCTACTTAAATATACACTGACTTTAAACAAATCGTTTATTTTTATATGAAATAGCATGATTCAGGCATATATCGTCATAAAAATTGTATAGTCGTCAAGGCTACCAAAACTGCGTTACAACTAACGATACCATGGTAAGATTTATCGTTTTTCCCAACTTTATCACAATTTCGGCTGATTTTCACTGTTTTTTTTCGACTTTCATGGCAGAAATAGGTTGATAGTGAAAACATTAGGTGTATCGAGTGTTGTAAATATTATGTATATGCTATAGATGATAATAACACATACCAAGATGTTAATATCACCTTCTACAGTTAGATATATTAGCCACTAGATGATTATATTGCAGGAAATAAATCATAATCATGCGTAAGAGGTATAATTATGTGGAGATTTTACCAGAGACCAAGCTAAGATAGCATTACTACCTCTTGTGTAGATCTACTCAAGTATTTGGCTGTACCAAAGCATGTCATTGAGATATGGATGTGACTTTTTTAAATTCAGAATTCACAGGACGACTACCTCAATTCTCAATAGCCGTGCAATTGTTTTGATGTTCTACCTACATTTCAATAAACAGTATTTTTCAAACAGCTTACTTTTTTACTTACATGGGAAACTGTAGAAGTGTTGAGAATGTGTGTTTGAGTGTCAGTGAACTTTTGATTAAACGCACATTCCTTATAAATAATACATCACCTGTTCCTTCTTTCGCAGATAATTTCAAATAACAATGAATTAGCAATTGCATTGGATATGCAAAACAATCGATGCTTAAGCTTCTGCTCTAGTGTTGTACAATAATACGCTTTACCTTTTAAATAAAAATTTTCAGAAATATGCCGGTTTTCCACTGCATTGCAGATTTATTTTGTCTGTTGTTGAAAATAAAGGCGAACATAGGAGACCTTTGGGGTTATGTCAATAGATGGAAAATAGGGAGTTCTGTGTGTATTTAGGCGAAAAGTAGACAGTTCAGCGGACATTTAGGTGAAAAGTGAGTAATTTATCGACAAAACGGCGAAAAAGGGGAAAATCCACATTATTTCCCCCGGACAGGCGAAAAAGGCGACATTCTGATGCGTTTTCCCCTTTCGCTACCAAAGCATTTACCCCTTTTTGGGTTGTCTGGGGAGCTACAACGTTTTGGCTGCCGGTATTATTGCAAAAATACCTAATAGCAGAAATAAGTACTGATATAAAGCTGTCATAAGAAAGCACTGAAAAGTACGATTCGATAGTCAAGATATCTTGATCTAAGGTGACCAGATTGTGTGAGATCCTATGTGATGATCTTCGGAAATCAACCAAGGCCTGTCTAGCTTACGTGCTGATGCCGTAAATGACAATTACTCATAACTTACGTGGGACTAAAACAGAATATGCATCAAGAATTGCAGGTTACACAGGACGATTCAAAGTAAATTCACACAGTAGTTATTATATATGGTCATCGTCTAAGTTTCCGAAGTGCAACCTGTCCAAAGAATTAAATAATACAATCCGTGTATATTGTGACCCAGACTTTCCTAAGCAACGCAAGAGATAAAGGAAATAAGCGTGATTGACTATCCAAAGGAAGGGTGTGCTAAATGCACTTTCGATCTGTAATTGAATACTGGTTTCCGTTTTTATACTAGTTTCTGGTAAACATTTATACTGAAATAACTTTCCTGTCTATCTTATTTCCAGCTAGCTTCGCAAGTGTTCACAGACCTAACGGGAACAATTCCTAAGAAATAAAAGTTATTTATTAATGGATCATTTGTGCTAGATTCAAACTTTAATAAACTTTTTCATTTATAACGCACCAGTCTTTTAATTACGGCAATTCTTATCTATCGTGACAGGTCGAAATTCGAACTACTAGTACGGTACACCATGTTCAAGGTAGCAGTATTTGGTAAACGGTATGTATGACTAATCGCGTGTGCGTCAAACTGGCAATTATTACACAAGAACGCGAAACAACATCCCTGTCTCACCGCCACATAAGACTGCACAGTACACTCCCTGTCGTTACGCTATAAGAATAAGTCAATGGCCACATAAATGAATTTATGTAAAACTAAAAAGATTACAATATTAGAACTTCTTGTTATCAAGAAGCATAGCTATGGTCTGTATTAACAATGGATTCTGACGTTGTAGCTTCATCATTAGCACCGATTGAACTCATCACTTGTGCGCATATGTCTTCCGATGCTTCGAGGCATGAACGGATGAGTTTACTTGCCAAAGGTTCACTAAGAGCATGGATTGAGTGGTAGTTGCTAGTGAACTTCTCTAGCAGATCATCACTCCCTGTAGAGATTGAGATGTTGTCCAGCGCACGAAGAACCAGGTCCATTATGTATTTTCTTGTCCACCGGTTGCTATGTCGAAATAAGTCTACAAAACTTGGAGATAAAGGAACAAACATACCTCCACGAATCAGATCTTTAGAATGTGCATACAAAATATGACCACAGGGCAGCATGTAGTCATTGAAACGCAATATTTCGACCTGAAGGATAAATTCATTTGAAGTAAGGCATACGTAGATGACCTATGTCGTCTCCTTTGCCTAGGTTGTGTTGGCGAGTTAGACGTTGTACGCTCTTCAGAAGAATGATTATTACTATCATCATCTACATCCTGAACGCAAGCATCTGACTCTGACGAACTGCGTTTACGTCCATATGTACAGACATATCTCACGAAAAAGTACTTTAGAGTTGGATCATCACTGTTCTTTTTGCATACTGACATAACGTACTTAGTATGCGTATACTAAAAAATAATTACTAACCACAGAAGTCATATTACCATATGTACTTCTTTCAAACAGGTCTCAAAATTGTCCCAACTTGTAAATCTTCGAGATAACATATTATCATTGAAGATTCGTCCTATATCATGCATCATCACGATGGCATCGTCTTCGTTACTTGAAGAATGGACGTTACCAGACATGCTGTGGCTGAACTCAATTCAAATCTAAAAATGTCTTGATTTGACCGCTTCTGAAAATTTTCACGTATTGTCGATGTGACGCACCAATCATTTTGTGACTGTTTGACCTTCAAGTGCTCGCAACTGAAGAAAGGTTTGTTGTACTGTAAACTATGTTTCTATGAACAACTGCCTGTTGTCTTCAGTATGAAAGCAGAATATATGTATCCTTTTTTTCTAAGGTAAGTTCAACTGGCCTATATTTCGTGTTTTGGTTTTATCGGCTTAGTTATGTACATTTAACTACTTTGAGCAACATGTCTGTGCAAATGAAAAAATAACTATGACACTTGGTTAGTTTAGTGTTCTTGGTTGTCGTATAATTCAGTTTAGTTGAAAGAATTATGATATACCTAAGTATAGTGCTTGAAGCCTGTAACGAAACAGATCAGTTTAGTAAGTAGAGTTGCCTGTTTCTAATGTGTGTACGGATTCAGATCAGTCTGATTAAAAATAGGAAAAAAACGTGCCTTTGATGCTGTTGCTGTCATACATTATAAGATAGCGATAAGTATGTCTGGTGTTTATTTCTAAACTGTACACCTATCACTGACCATATTTCATGATCACTGTCATTAAACAATTTTCCCATCAATAACATCGGTAGCCAGATAGCTAAGTGTCTGAGCTTTTAGTTGCCCGCAAAACAGCAGTATACAGTCTTAGGAGATGAGTGTTCTGTGTCTCAATTAAATGCAGCTGGCGGTGGGCAAATGTTAAGAATCTTTTTGACAACTGGGACTTTTAGTTTATCAGACACTTACTCTGCTTGTATGTTTTCCTGTTAAACTAGACGCAGATGCATGGGAATACTTAAATGGGAGCAAAATAATAAAAGCATTGCAACACGGTTCTAAGCCCATGTTATGCTTTGCACAAATAATAGTAGCTGACCTTATCTAATATTCATGAACTCAAGGTAAATCACAACTGCATAAATTCTTTGCTAAAAAACATGTAATTTGGTTATTTATCTACTCCACATTTCTGACTAAATTCATCACTATTTTTTTCATTTAGAATGCAACAGGAGTAAGCCTTCACAGACCCTAAAAACTGTTTCGCCCTTGGAACTATGGCCTTATGGAACTGTTTACGGGAGACCCAACTAACAGCAGATTATAAAAAGGATGCTAGACGTCCATTTTAGTCTCACAACCACTTCCAGTATTTTTTGACTTCTTTTACCCTTTCGTTTGAGAAAAAACAAAAACTGCAGCTAAACATTACCAATACAACTTTTAGACGGGAACTCGGTTTAAACCTTTGTTTGATATTCGATTCTTAATGAAAGTACTTGAGTAATTTTTTGAATCTAATGCTACTTTGTTTTATCTACTTAATCGTTGCAAGAAACTTGTGATAAGCGAGCCTCTCAGCACCTAGTTCATGTGTTCAAATGGTTGTGGACGGAATGGAAGGAGCTTTCGCTTAACAGGCTTCCGTGTCTAGTAGCAGAAGGTCACCAAAACCTCCAGGCAGGAACCTAGGTATGTTAACAATAAAAGAGGAAAGAGAAATTGGTAAATCATAGTATGATACCATGCTTAATCCTTAAGAATAGATCCAGTTGCCTCTCGAAGGACTCCTGGGAAGTCGCTTGGAGTAGCTTAGCGGACAGCGGATCCCAACATTTGACAACTAAGGAGTAGAAGTTGTGTCTACGGTCCGTTCTGCTATATTGTGTCTCTAGTTTCTGAGACTAGGCTTAAGTAGGTGTTTTAGGGGATGTCCAGGACTGTTAAGGTTATTGTAAGCCATTAGGTCACCTCTAAGACGCTATTCATAAGGTGATTTGGTGCATATCTTCGTCATTTTCTTGGGAGACCTACAGACTCGGATCCTCTCATAGCTTATTCTAACCACCATGGGTTGTCACGGCAGCTGATGGGTGGACACGCGTTACGCATCCTAACCGTACCTGCTTCTACTTTCATAGCCTGGTGGTCGAAACGTGCTAATAAACTGGAAGCAGCAGCCGCATCTGGCAACTACCGGAAGCTCATCCGAGCCACTGGCAGCTCCTTATTCAAATGCCATATGACAAGCAAGCAATACCCCTACCTGCATCAATGGAACACTAGTAACTCAAATGCACCCCGTATGGCACATTACACTGGTTTACGCACTCGCTTAGCTCTTTAGTGAGAATATTAATACGGTCCTGCTGAAAAAGCCACGAACCCCCCTACCTCCATCAAAACAAATAAGTCTGTATTTGCTGCATATAGCAATTTTATTATTCAAAAGTAAGATATAGCAGTTAGGATTGGAGTAAAATGGCAGTATTCAGCAGATGCACGTGGTACATGTCTTCATCGATTAACTGAAATATAGAATACGGATATTAGCTTAACAGGCCTATTTAAAAAGACCAGTGTCTAATTTGAACTTACTGCGTGAGAAAGTTATACCGGAACTACGAATGTTGTAGAAATAGAGTTTCTCGGGGCGTTTGAAGTACTCAGACTGTAAGACAGTTGTCCAAAAATAATTCGAATATGAAGGTGAAAATTTGCGGGTACTTTCCATCGTAAGGGTGAACATATTAGGTATCAGTTGACATCATACCGTAAAAAAACACAAATTTGCGAGTGGTGAAATATGATCTACAACAAAGGTGAAAATCTGCAGATACTTTCCATCGTAAGGGTGAACATATTAGGTACCGGCTGACGCGGTGAAATATGGTCTATAAAACAGTTGGCTTAATAACAGTTAATTACCTTTCTACTCCCTGATCATGACCCTTCGGCTTCCTTTTATGGCCAAAACAGCAAACATACACTACACACTGGTAGCAGATTTCCGGCTTTTTAATGTTAAGCTTGCTTCAACGCACTGCATAATAAGAACAACCTCTCTATTACTGCTATATGGCATATTTTTCGTAACAAACCCTCTGAAATAGATTGGTAGCATCTGTAACTTCATCTATAGTTGTCGAAAGTCTGGGTCCTTTCGGAACCAATACCCATATACCCTACTGCTGGGCACTCTGTATTAGTTTGACTCGTTGGTGGGACAGTGTTGTCCATAATACTGAAAATTAAAAAACCCAGATCGTTCCCTTTCATTTTGACGATAACATCATAAACGACAGTTAGGAACGAACATGCGAACAGTTAGAGTCACAGGCGGCAGCAACAATTCATTTAGCTAAATAAAAACGAACTTCGGCTTTGGATATCTAGAAAACAAGGTAAAACATAACCGATTGTCGTTTAAAAACATAAGGTCTTATGTTAGTACTGGCCAGCTTAGCTGAATAAATACAGTGACTTCAGTAGCAGCAGGTAAAACCCAGAAAACAAAGCAAAATCAGGAAGAATTTTGCTCCAACGTTTAGAGTATTACACTAACTTCTGGATTTTAGCACACTGAAACATTAAATTCTGTAGCTTCACAAAAGAAATAGCGGAAAAGACACAGAACGAAGAAAGCCGGCCTACATTTTATAACACAAGTCTAGCCAGATTGCCTGAAGAAATACATTGACTTGAGTAGAAGCAGCAAAAACCCAGAAAACATCGCTGGTTCGAATTAAACTTTACACCAACATATAGAACATTACACTAACTGCGGCATTTTTGCACACTGAGACATTAAATTACATAGCTACACAAAAGAAATAGCTGAAAAAAGCACAGAACGAAGAAAGCCGACCACCATTACTTACAAAGATGGCGGATGCAATAATTCCCGCCTCATTCTGACTGGTTGATAAGCTGAAGGGCACATTTACGAAATTGAGTTGCGTTTAATTGCAGCCTTGCACAGACACCTGGATGAGAAAGTTTGTGCAACGTATTGAAGACGTTGCGTCGATAACGTTTCGGCACGATTGGGCGATCCCTACCTGTAGATGTGTCACAAAGTAAGGTTTCCTTACCTGTTCCCATCTGTTTGATACGTGACTTGAGGGTTGTGGACGATAATTCGTGCTGAAGATCACTGTCTTCTTTTTGAAGCTCGGCGAGTTTAAGAAGGTCGATTCCTTGGAAACTGTTCAAGGAAGCTATGCAAGATAAGGCGTCTGCAACTACATTGTTTGCTCCAGAGATGTGTTGACTGTCTGAAGTAAACTGCGAAATGTAGTCCAGTTGTCGTGACTCACGGGGAGAGTACTTGTCTGAAGTAGAGCTTAGAGAGAAGGTGAGAGGTTTATGGTCGGTAAAAAGAGTGAATTCACGACCTTCGATGTAGTGTTGGAAATGCCGTACAGCACAATACATAGCTAGGAGCTCCCTACCGAATGTGCTGTATCTTGATTCAGTGTCTAGCAACCGTCTAGAGAAAAATGCTAAGGGTTGCCATGAGTTGTTAACCCATTGTTGTAAGACTCCTCCGATTGCCGAGTCGGATGCGTCTACTGCGATGCTAATGGGTGCTCGGGTGTCCTGATGTGCGAGCATTGTTGCTTTAGCAATCAGTTCCTTAACTGTGGAGAATGCTTTTCGTGCGGTGTCGTCCAAATTAATGGATTTCGCATTTCCACGAAGTTGGTCGGTCAGAGGTTTCATAAGTAATGCGCATTTGGGTATGAAACGTCTATAGAAACTTACTAGGCCGTTGAACGTGCGTAATTGCTTGACGGTGGTCGGTTCTGGGTAATCCAGAATGGCCGCCACTTTGGTTCTAAGGAGTCGGATACCTTGAGCACCGATAGTGTGTCCCAGAAAGTCTAATGAGTCGGTTCTGAATTGGCATTTCTGAACGTTTACAGTTATGCCATGTTTTTGTAATCGTTCGAAAACAAGATCCAGATGCTTGAGATGTGTTCCTCTGTCCGGACTTGCGATAAGGCAGTCATCAACATACGCATGTACGAAGTTGAGACCTCGAAAAACGTCGTCGTTTTCGCATTCAATCGCCGATATTCACCAGTTGGACGCCAATCGTCGCTGTTCTTTTTAGGGACCATGTGCAACGGAGATGCATATGGGCTACTTGACGGTCGTATCATATGTTCGAACTCGTTTTTCGCTAACCTTAATTTTTCAGGAGCTAGTCGGCGTGCTTTAGAAAATACAGGTGGTCCTGTAGTCGTGATGTGATGTGTAACGTTGCTGGTTACACACGGTAGTTTCGGTTGCGTTTGTTGTATCCCAGGGTACTTATCGAGTAGTGGCTGATAGAGTGGGTCTATCATATGCTTAATTGTGACTGGGGATAATCTACAACCAGAAAAAGAAGTTACGCAAACGGATAAATTAGTGTTTCCGTCTACTAGCCTCCGTTTGCGAGTGTCGATGATCAGATTGTGGTGTTGTAGAAGGTCCATACCAATGATTGGCATAGAAACATCTGCAACAACGAAAATCCAGTGGATGGGTTTGCGTAAACCCACGTTAAGGTAAACGTACCTTTTGCCATACGTAGCGATCGGTTTTCCGTTTGCCGCCTGTAAGTTTAGAGTCGATTCGTGAAGTCGGTCGTTAGGATTTGCTGGGAGAACGCTAACTTCTGCGCCAGTGTCGACGAGGTAGCGAACTCTCGTTGTCACATCTGTGACGTATAACAGACGGCTATGTTCGCCGGCTACGGTTGCCGTTAACGCGTGCCGGCTTGGAAGTTTCCCGAATTGTTTTTCGAGTCAGTCGGTTTCGTGTTGGGAAAATTGCAGGGTTTTCTGCAATTTCTGGAAAACTTTCCATACTGGTTATGATACCAGCACCAGTCGGGGTTATCTGTCTCTCGTGGTCTAGAGACAGATCGCTTACGAGAAATGCTTCTACGTGGTGTGCGCGATCTCTTACGGTCGGTACGAAGACTAAGATAACGCGTGAGTGTGTGACATAAGTCGGTTATGTCATTCTGAGTCGTTTGAGGCTTTTCTTTGACTGAAAATACCTGTCGTAGAAGGTTTCGTAATTTCTAGAATGCGGTCGGCAGATGCAGCTAGCTCGTCTAAGGCGTTGTTCTGGAACGAGACCAGAACTGCTTGCACCTGTTGGGGAAGTTTTGACAAGAAAAGTTGTTTGAATAGACCTTCGTCGAAAGTTCTTGGGCCTATAACCTCTCTCATCCGTTGCAACATGTCCGTCGCAGAACCGTGTTGCAGGTCGATGTTATTGAAGAGTTGATCTAACCTTTGTCGATCGGTTAGGTCTCCTCGTTTAAGAATCGAGCGTTTTAAGATTTCGTAAGGTTCGGAAACATCACTAGTAAACATACTAGGTGTTACGTACCTGTTGAATTCCGCGGTAGTGCCTTGACTACTGCGAGGAATTGTGCACGTGTGTCGATCACGCCGTGCTCGGAGAAGTCGGCTTCTGCGTAGCAAAACCAGGCTTCGATGTTGTCGGGCCAGAAAGGCATCAGTTGAAACGAAGGTGGGGACAAGGTCTTAAGCTTGAGTACTTTAGGTGTCTGTTCAGTCATGATGAAATATGAAGTACGATAATGAACGAGGAGAAAATATATATATATCCAAGAAAAAAATCTCAATGTTTAAAAAAATAAAAAATAAGGCAATGATATATAAAAATCCCAAAAAGGAACAGACTCACAGTTGCAATTAGGTGTACCAGATCACGTCGGTCTCACCAATGAAAATGACACAGGTATTCAGTGTTTGACAACGCTTCTACCAGTAACACCTTCTAATATGATTTGTACCCACCGAGAGAAATCAAAAGACAGAGTCGAGGAGATCGGAAGAGTGTATTTGGCGATAACCAAAATATCGGAATTCTCTGATCTAATCTGGCTAGCGATTGCGGTTGATGTTGAGCACGGCGTTACCACACGTGATCTGGTGCGGATGCCTGACCGAGCGCCTTCAGCTAGATGGGTCCACCAAAACATATGGTCAGCATCCAATGTCGAAAACTTACAGGGCTATTTATTTTGGGGATTTATTTACCGCTACAACTTAGTAGGTTCTTATAGGGGATTGATAGAAGCGATACAACAAGTATCATATCCTTATGTAATAAGGAACACACTTCAACAACTCAGGTGTAGATAACAAGAAACAAGTAGTTTTCTACTACTACCAAGCAATGTTGAAATTAATGAATGAGATGTGTATAAGTTTGTGATGGACCCCAAAAGCAAAATTTTCATTCAAGATATAACAATACACACCGTTAGTAATGATATATCATCAAAATACCGACACAACGAAGAGGTAACGCATAACGCTTACACCTAAATGGTTTATCGATTAAATACTGAACGTAAATGAAATTAGACATTGGGTGTTACAAATAAAGAAAAATGACTCCTTTATTTTGTCGATACAAGAATCCTTGAAGATACATGTCACGTTTTATGAGAGAGCGCGTGTTCTAATCCTGTACGTTACAACTTGTGTTTTGCCGTTACATTGGGTTACAAACCTCTTTTTAGCACTTCTAGCTGTGACTTTTGAGTTACTTCAATCACAGCAGGGGTATTGTTGATTTGTTTCCTTGTTAAATGTAGGTTTATTCTATGTGTTTATTAAGTCGTTAGCTCGCGTTCTAGATCAAGCTTGATCATTTTTCCCAGCTTCCATCGAGTGGGCTCTCCTGCTTATTCAACGCTCTTAAGTTAGAGACGAACCGCTGTACTGACATATTTCCGGAGCTGATTTTCATTTTTGTACTGAATTGACGTTGACATCAATAGTTCACAAACTGTTTGCATTATAATAAGTAAGTCTATTCCACGTATCCACTCGGTCATTCTCTCATGTCTTTCACGATTGCCCTCACTTAAATTGTATGTGAGTTCCAGTCTACAGCAACCAACATCAATATATCTCTAGACTAGACTTATAAGTCTAGTCTAGGTTTATAAACCTAACATTCCCTTAACGTCACTTTAGATGATGGAGGTAGGATTTAGTTCTTTCACCGCAAGACTGACGTGTGGATCACTGTAGCCACTTCACATAGCTTCGAAAAAAATTAGTTACACACAGTAGTTGAAACTCACTTTATTCAGAGCCATCTAAATCCCAATCTCAAGTCCGGGGAAGTTTTGGGAAAACCTCCAAAGTCAAATCACCTTCACCAAGGTTTGAGTGAAATATTGGGAAATTTCCCCAGATCTGGTGCAATTTCCTCAAACCTTTCTATAGCGTCTTACCCAAAATTTGGAGATAGGGATACTTATAACAATTAAAGATATTCGAATTAATACGCTAACAAAAGATTCCCGAAATAGTGCAATTTAGAGCTGGTAGATCTAGATGAGCACTACTAAACTTACTATATCTGTGATTCACAGTAAGCGCGCATGCAAGTTCAAAGGAATCATCAGCAATCATTTTTATTCGTGCATGGTTCATCACTGAGTAGTTCACATAATTTACAGTCAGTGGAATGTTATGCCAGAGTCGCTTATTGCTTACACTTTTAAAACGAGGAACCACTGCAATTGCTACAACATGGAGTAAGAACAATAAGAATGATACAAGTAGAGGTTTAGTAATCCCAAAACATGACAACGACCCTAGTCGGAAATACACTTGTTTATATATTGATGCTAAACCCATTTTCATTATTAATTAGGATGAAATCACATAAGCTAAAAACACTGACAGATATAACAAATCACATGCTTCATGTCATGCTGATCACAGTTCATGTTAATTCAATGCAAGAGTGTCGTATCTTGAACAAACGTCACACTCAAATTAATGTTATACAGAATAGAATACCATACAGAAAAACAAAACAAATACTGCATTGAGTAATTATCACATTGAATTAAAACGGAAGTAATGTTGAATAATAATCACAATGAGGAAGAAATGTAATTTAGCTTTTTAATCCCATCATATCACCTCCCCTTCTCAATGGAATACGTAAGAGTAAGTTTTTCATGAAGGGTCTACTGTAACGGGTGGGTATACAAAAATATTGAAATGTCCTTCTGTATGATGTTGACCAATATGAGTAACATTACAAACAGCGATTTCCCCACCTTTCATAACAAACATTTGTCATTATTCCACTCACAATACGAATAAGTATATGTCACGTTTCGACATATCAGTAACAATGCACGTGACTCATGTAAAGTCGTTTTGTCTCCAAAGCATTTGAACGGGAAATTTGTACATGGTTCATACTCATTAGGTCGCTGTATCCTACATACAGGTGTATTGCAATTGAGCTGACTTTTAATTTCTGAAACCGCGTCTTACATTTTGTGTGTGACATTTGCTTTGTCGGAATAAACAAGATATCGTCGTATTCCTTGGGTATTTGTAGATAAGTATAACGAATACTAAGATCTCATGACTGTTAATCATACAGTTTTCGAAAAACATTGAGAGCTTTGTGCAAATTGATTATATTAAACACTTTTGGCAAGATGAAATTACTACGCTTTTTATGTTTGTTTGACTTCAGCTTACAAAGGTAATCACGAACCTTCGATCCAGTGTCTAGTTTAGCCACTATCATCTTAAATAAACCTTCATTTTTACTATCACAGGGAGAGACAACGATGAGGCGAAGGTATGTATTCCTGTCTTCCCGAATTTTTATTGTTCTGGAGAGGAAATTGGAGTTGTCAGGACACTCCTGATCGGGAGCCTATGCCCCAAGAGCAGTAGAAGTCCTAACTTCTAACTTGATATAGGAAGTTTAAAGAACAGGCGTTTAACGTAAAAATAATACGCAACTCTATAATGACTTAAATTATGGTTAATGAGTTGCCGATGAGACGCGATCAGGCTTTGATTCCATTATCACCTATCTAAATAACAACTAGTCAAACACTTACACAAAACCGGTCGAGTTAAACCGATCGACTGGATAGTTGTTTATTTCATACAGTACTTGGTGTTTTAACGATGCAGCGTCTGATCATTAGCACACTCGAGGTATATCGATGATTCTGATGAAAAAGCCGGTTTCAACACCTTCATGTAACCTAATTCTTTCGAAGTTATGTGAGGTGACTACAGTGTAGCACACGTCAGTCTTACAGCGAAGGAGCTAAATCCTACCTCAATTGTTTTAAGTGAAGTTCAGGTAGTGTTGAGTTTAAGTCTAGTTGGTTGATTGAGCCGTCATGACAGGCAAGTCCAACCACCAGGTCAACGTATTAGCTATGTTCATACATCAATAGTGGAGAGAAAACTGATGAGTGTTCGAAGATTTATTTCCACTGACTGTAAATTCTGTGAACTACTCAGTGATGAACCATGCACGAATAAAAATGATTGCTGATGATTCCTTTGAACTTGCATGCGCGCTTACTGTGAATCACAGATATAGTAAGTTTAGTAGTGCTCATCTAGATCTACCAGCTCTAAATTGCACTATTTCGGGAATCTTTTGTTAGCGTATTAATTCGAATATCTTTAATTGTCATAAGTATCCCAATCTCCAAATTTTGGGTAAGACGCTTTCGAAAGTTTTGAGAAAGTGGCACCGAAACTCCAAAATTTAGGCTGAAAATAGAAAAATATATAATATATATGAATATAAGTCACACGAGAATAATCACGTCTATAAGGACATGCCTTTGCTTTAATTTGAATTTCACCTGAATTTCCTCGCCTTCACCATCAGTGACCTTCTCTCAGTGTTCCGTGTTTAAAGTCTATTTTCCCAGTAATCTCATGCTCAACTTTGAGGATTCTGGCTATGATCCGATGCCACTACATGTCTTCGTTCATCGCGACTGACTTCGATGACCTTTATAAAGGTGTTGAAACCGGCTTTTTCATCAGAATCATCGATATACCTCGAGTGTGCTAATGATCAGACGCTGCATCGTTAAAACACCAAGTACTGTATGAAATAAACAACTATCCAGTCGATCGGTTTAACTCGACCGGTTTTGTGTAAGTGTTTGACTAGTTGTTATTTAGATAGGTGATAATGGAATCAAAGCCTGATCGCGTCTCATCGGCAACTCATTAACCATAATTTAAGTCATTATAGAGTTGCGTATTATTTTTACGTTAGACGCCTGTTCTTTAAACTTCCTATATCAAGTTAGAAGTTAGGACTTCTACTGCTCTTGGGGCATAGGCTCCCGATCAGGAGTGTCCTGACAACTCCAATTTCCTCTCCAGAACAATAAAAATTCGGGAAGACAGGAATACATACCTTCGCCTCATCGTTGTCTCTCCCTGTGATAGTAAAAATGAAGGTTTATTTAAGATGATAGTGGCTAAACTAGACACTGGATCGAAGGTTCGTGATTACCTTTGTAAGCTGAAGTCAAACAAACATAAAAAGCGTAGTAATTTCATCTTGCCAAAAGTGTTTAATATAATCAATTTGCACAAAGCTCTCAATGTTTTTCGAAAACTGTATGATTAACAGTCATGAGATCTTAGTATTCGTTATACTTATCTACAAATACCCAAGGAATACGACGATATCTTGTTTATTCCGACAAAGCAAATGTCACACACAAAATGTAAGACGCGGTTTCAGAAATTAAAAGTCAGCTCAATTGCAATACACCTGTATGTAGGATACAGCGACCTAATGAGTATGAACCATGTACAAATTTCCCGTTCAAATGCTTTGGAGACAAAACGACTTTACATGAGTCACGTGCATTGTTACTGATATGTCGAAACGTGACATATACTTATTCGTATTGTGAGTGGAATAATGACAAATGTTTGTTATGAAAGGTGGGGAAATCGCTGTTTGTAATGTTACTCATATTGGTCAACATCATACAGAAGGACATTTCAATATTTTTGTATACCCACCCGTTACAGTAGACCCTTCATGAAAAACTTACTCTTACGTATTCCATTGAGAAGGGGAGGTGATATGATGGGATTAAAAAGCTAAATTACATTTCTTCCTCATTGTGATTATTATTCAACATTACTTCCGTTTTAATTCAATGTGATAATTACTCAATGCAGTATTTGTTTTGTTTTTCTGTATGGTATTCTATTCTGTATAACATTAATTTGAGTGTGACGTTTGTTCAAGATACGACACTCTTGCATTGAATTAACATGAACTGTGATCAGCATGACATGAAGCATGTGATTTGTTATATCTGTCAGTGTTTTTAGCTTATGTGATTTCATCCTAATTAATAATGAAAATGGGTTTAGCATCAATATATAAACAAGTGTATTTCCGACTAGGGTCGTTGTCATGTTTTGGGATTACTAAACCTCTACTTGTATCATTCTTATTGTTCTTACTCCATGTTGTAGCAATTGCAGTGGTTCCTCGTTTTAAAAGTGTAAGGAATATGCGACTCTGACATAATAATCTTTGACGACCAATCTTAACCCATCTTACCGCTTTCTTTCGGCCTGGTTATTAACCGAAGAAAACAAAATGGGAAATAGAAAGCATTTGAGAAGTGGAAGGATCATGAAGCTGTAAAGGACAATTGATGGAAGATTTTTAAATGATATTTATAATACGTGGTTTTCACCTTTTTAAACGGCTTATACGTTTGCATCCTTGTCTTGGATTTAATACAAACTAGAATATACATCTGTCAACCACTATTTGACTATTTATTGGTGATAAACACCTGTTAACCTAGTAGTATACGATTCAATGTATTCTCTGAGAAATCAAAATATAACCTTCTTTTGTATATGTATGATTGTTGTCGACCATTCCGTATTCAATATATGTTACACGTTGATGATTTTGGGTATACTTGTCTAGGTGTATAACAATATTTTTACGAAATTAGTAGTAGTGTTAGTAAAAGTATTAATAGTGGTAGTAATAGCAGTAGTGTGGGACAAGCCACTTTTTCTGACAGATAAAAGTAGTATGTAACAGCGGTCAGAAATGGAAGGCCTGTCATAAGAAGGTTGATAAGAGTGAACCGAAGAAAACAAAATGGGAAATAGAAAGCATTTGAGAAGTGGAAGGATCATGAAGCTGTAAAGGACAATTGATGGAAGATTTTTAAATGATATTTATAATACGTGGTTTTCACATTTTAAATTAAAATGATTGTCCCCACTAGAATGTCCCTTCACCACTGTAGTATTAGAAGTGGCTTTTATTTAACTTCTTCCAAACTTTTTGTAATCGCTAAAGGAATGAAAATACTAATCTATATTCTGTACTTAAATGTAGTATCAAAATACTCAAACTATCAAAACTGTTTAACAATCAACCTTCAAGTTTTTATTGACATTATCCAGAACTGCAATTCTGTATTCCCTCTACTCTTCTTTCCTATTCATTCTTTTTGTTATAATTTTTCAGCTATTTCCTTTTTGCTCTCGCATTGTCTATGGATCATATCTATATACCATTGTTAAGCTGAGTCATATTTTCATTCATACATTGCAAATCACTGTCTTTAGTGTTTTAAATCTTACTTATAAAACTGAACTTCAATGGTATCAGGTAACAGTTTAGTTTATGTATTAAACCAAGTTAACTTGGTGGTGAAATGTACTTGTTCAACAGTGGCTACTGACACTATTTAAAGTACTTAGACTGAATAAAGTGAAATAAGATTTGTGTCTGTTTTCGTAGATGGAAGTGAAGTGTCTCGATTATTGAATCATGTGTAAATTATTAATAAGACCATACAACATTATTTTAGACTGGAAAACATAAGTTCATACAACAGTTGTTTCACCTTTTATTTTAGCTCATCAACAAAACATACAGATAATCTTCAGGTCTCGTAATGATTAAGATACAGTGCAGTGAGAGTGCAAATACAATAATCTAGGTTTTTTAACATCAGTCAATTTACGATATAGGGTAACATTCACTCAATCTTATTGATGGTCGACTGATATGCTACCTATATGATCAATTTTATAAGTAGTCGCGTCCTGTTGGAATTTCGGTAAATGTACCTTTTAGATATATTTTGTGATGACGGCCCGACGATTGGATACGCATAGAAACTATGAAGTTTCATTTAGTTCAAATTAAAAATATCACTAATGAAATTCCGTTCGCCATCTAGTATATATTAAAAATTAAAAAATTACCACCATATTTTGCAACATGGTGAGACTTCACTTCAAGCAAAATTGAAAACGAAACAACTCTTGAAATTTGATTCGTCTTATTAAATGAGTAGTTAACAATGGAGGAGTTATAAATTCTTTAGGTAGGTTATCCTGAACCACCACACATCAACAAAACTGCGTTACGTTCAGACCACTTAGTATGTATTCAGTAGTCTATAACTTAAATTTAAAATCGATAAGCTTATTATTTTGTTGGTGATAGAATACCTGATGGAAGGTCTGTGTGCGTTGTTTCGATCTCCGGAGAATCTGATGGCATTGGTCTATTCAAGAGCTCTCCAATGAGTCCTGCTTAGATGTTTTGGTAATCTTGACAAACATTGACCGATTCTTCTTCCTTGTTATTGAATAGTCACTTTGGTCTACCATATTTCCCTGCAAGTGTTTTGGTTGTGTCACATAGTTCTCCCGTACTTTTTTTATCTTGAAGCTTATTTTGCTGTAGTTGTCAGGTCTTTTGTACACTTCCGCTTGTCAGCTCAAGTACTCTTCTTCACTCGTTTGTTTGCTACTGTATATTTGGCCTGTCTTGGCCTTCTCTGCTGTTGTTGGCTGCTGTCTTCTTGTTTCTCCTTTCTTGAATCCTGGTCAGGCTGTTTACTAAGACCCTTTCCTTATCCTGGAGCTTCTTGAGACCTAGCATCTCTCGGTATGTCGAAATTATTGCTTCTTTAATCCATTTCCAATTGTTCCCCATGATGGTTTTCTTTTCTAATAGATCGTGTAAGGCTTAGAACTTTTTTCTGAAATCTATCATGAACTCAATGAGCTTGTTAGTATCTTCAAGGAAGGCTGTACCAAACTTTTGTGGTGTCGCTTGTCCAATGCTTTTTTAGCTTCAGCTTGCTTGGTCACCACTAGGCGGTGATCTGAAGCCATGTCAGCTCCTCTCTTTGTTCTTACGTTTCCAGTTAATCTCCAGAATGTCTTATGCATGTATATGTGCCTAATCTAGTTTTCCGCAGTGTGCTCTGGTGGGACCCGTGTAGGTTTATGGATCCGTTTGTGGGGAAAATTACTACCGCCTCTGATCACGTTGTTGAAAGCATACAGATCTACCAGTCCCTCGCCATCCTCGTTCCATTCTTCTACTCCATGTGGCCATTAGGTTTGTTCTCAATCGGTGTTGCAGGTCCCGACCGTAGCTTTCAGGTCCCCCATAAGGATGGTTAGGTGTGTTCCTGGGCATCAATCTGGGGTGAACTACAGCCTCGCAACAAACTGGTCTTTATCACCTTCTCTGTTATCATTTGTGAGCGGATAGCACCGAATAGAATTCACTGCAACCCTTTACTTCTCTGTTTCAAGGATGCCTCGATGGTCCTGGAACCGTAGGTTTTCCATCCCGTAAGCGCTCCTCGTCCTTCTTTTTTTGACTGCACCAGTACAACATAAGCATTTAGGGCATTTTCTTCTTCATGACCAGAATACAACATCTTCCTTGGCGCCGTTCTTTTTGTTCAGATTGTGTCTGATGGGTTTCAGTTATTCCAAACACGGTCAAGTTGTATCTTTCCATTTCCGCCACTATTTAAATGGTTGTCCCAGTCCACCACATCGTCCGGATATTCCACGTGCCTATATCAATTGTTGCTCTGCTTTTCATAAGGAGTATCGACCTCGTGATTTCCGAAGAATCTCGGCTTCCACCATGAATCACCATCCTCTATATGAAAACCCTTTGACTATCAATGCAGAGTTTAAATGGTTCAAACGATCTTTTCCGGTGAGGTCTTTTCTAGACGTGAAAATGGTAACCCTTCTCTCTCATCTGCGCTTAGGTGGAGCAGTGACCATAGAGGGGCTACTGGTGGGGTCGGAGCCACGGTTATTATGAGTATGATATACCACGACCTCTATCCACTAGTGTTTCAGTTAAAACTCGCTTCTGCCAGCTCTTTTTGGGTGACGAGATGATGTCAGTAGCTCTCAAACCACTCCAGCCGAGTACAGATTCTTTTTGCTGGTTAGCGCGTGTTAAGCTTGCTTAACCATTAGCTATTCTGACGTTTGACACGAAAGTAGGCTGGAAGAAGCTTGAAGTATCCGATTCAATAAGTAACATCATTTAATGATGTCAACGGCTGTTGGTGGAATCCAAATCAACAGGCATCGACCTCCTGATTGGAGCTCATACAACACTGATAATCAGGGGTTGAAGACAGGTGACTTGGCACAAATCAGTCGTGATAGATCATTATTTTTGAGTTGCTCTCTAAATTTTAGGATAGATACCATTAATAGTGTTCATTGGAACAGTATATTTCATGTTTAGGTCTCCATTGATTTTGTCTTACACTTCTTCTTTTTGTCCTCTTTCCTCTTATTGACGTGAAATGTCCCGACCGTAGATGCTACCTTGTCATCGTGGCCTAGCTTGCCCATTGTGATCACTCAGCCAAGCTATATCGGCTGGAATACGTATTCCTTTAAATTCCGTCATACCAGCCAAGTCGGTTGTAGAGTGGTAGGACTAGGAGCAGTAACTCAAAACTCGAGGACAAAGTCGTACTGCTGACTGTGGAAGGATGTGACAGCAGAGAGGTGTTTCCTTTGAACAATTAGCATCTTCAGAGATGGTTCCTCCTCACAAGGAAGATAAGGGTTAGAAAAGACCGACCCTAACACTGTCAAACCTCACTTTACACTACGACGGTCAAAGATCAAAAGCTTCCCATAAAAACGCCGTTAGAGACCGGCCGCAAGCAGTTGTCCCTTGAGCTTTGTGGCCACGATTCCTGGTCGCTAAAGCCACCAATAATCTGGGCTGGTTCCAGATCTGAAGGTGGATGTATAGATCAATGATTCATCTTTTTGCACGTTTCGGAAAATAGACGTACTTCTCGACGTCCGACTATCGTTGTATTCCTTTACCTTGTGGAGGAGGAATTAGTTACTCCGGTGATCTCTTAACCACTTCAAATATAACAGGGATTTGGCCTGACAATGTCATCGCTGAGCTAATGGGTTATTGCAACTTGAACCGATGGATATATATACGAGGTTCCACGTTGCGACTGACTGATATGAAATATGACGACTTATACCGATGGACACGTACGAAGTCCTAAGTAAATGATGACTGACTTACCTGGTCGGACGACTTAATCCGAACTTTCAGCCGATATTTGTATGCTTGGAACCTATGTTACATCAATTTAAGGAAATTTATATCTTTTACTTACATTGAGTGTGACTCAGAGCCGTGTTTATGAATTGGTAGTTTGTCACTGAGTCGCATCTATGATGATATTTCGATTGTACGCCAGTGAGAATGTTGCGACTTAATCTAGATCAGTGTTCCGTTTTATTTGTTCATTTCAAGGTACACAGGACACTTAGTACTTGTATCAAATAAGAACAAAATCTATATTATATTTGTATTTGGTATTTGTAAGGACGTGTTTGCGTCAATGAAGGTGTTAATTGGTTTGTATTCAATAAAAATGGTTTGCATTATCATTGTATGGTATCCGAGAATAATAAAAAGAGCTCTTTCTGTACTTACAGATTAGATTTTGAATATGTCTGAAAAGAAACGGAAGCAGCGGTTAGCTGGTGATAAACTCAATGAAAACCCACTGAAGCCTACACTAGAAGAAATCGATGTTGCGAATTACTTACATAAAAAGCTACCATTTAAAGAAGGGCGTCTCTCAGGAATGATTGTTCGCACATTCGTAGCAATGGAAGCCATAGAGTTACTGATGAATTCACATTGGGCTAGACCAAATGACGATGCAAAACCAACTCTTTTTACAAGTCAAACTACTGCAGTTAATTTCATGACAACTTTGTTTCAGAAGCAAATGTTTCAGCGGTATATAAACACGTGAAGTGTTCATAATCTTTATTTTAGTGCAGTTCGTGTCAAGAAAAAGTCCACTAAACACCGAGAAGATGCGAAATCATTGAAGCCTAAACTGAAAAAGCTTACTGATGGAAAGCTTGCCACCAGTAAAAATGTTGTCGACGCGACTTCAGATGAAAATGTAGGTACTTAAATTTACTTAAAATTTCTATATATAGTTCATAGCCGGTTACAGTGGTGAGAATACATCCATTAATCATGTGTTTTTTTCCGTTTTAAGGGTCATGTTATTCTAAAACCCTCATTTCCAATCATTGTTTTATGCACTAACTAGTGTTTTCATCACCTTTCCTCTTGTCGATTTCTCTCGGTACTTATATGAACTTTAGTGATGCGAACCGGCACACATTTCAGATGAGCCCCACGCTTATATCCAACTGTCTGTTACTGAAATAAGTCAGCACAGCACCATCACGTACACAAACTTTACACTTCCTTTCATCAAATACATCCGATATCAGCTATGCTGGCGTGTTTTAAGCTTTCGTGGCCATATCTTATAAGTTATTTGTGATTGCGTGTAGGAATGCATTAACCAGGCATATAATTTCTCAATTGTTCAAATACCTGTTGCTACTTATATCGTTGGAAAATTGTTATGGCCCAAAGCCGCCAATCAGAAGCAGCGAATTATCGATCGGACCAAGGACGCGTAAAGCACGTGCGAACAGCCTAGAGCCCTGATTGGTTCTGCTTTCCGCCTAGCCCAGCCAGTTAAGTCCAGAACACCAGTCTCAGCCTCTGCAATATGAATCCTTATATACCAAACATACTGAGTTTGTATTACCAATCAAACAGACCACAACGTAGCATAAAATAAAAAATAACATTTGTACAAAATTTGGCTAAATGTGGGAGGCAGTGACAGAGCATAATTGAAAAATGGTAAAACGTATAATAATGGTTCATAGGTCAAAATAAAGTTTATAATAAGAGGAATATGAACAGTTTAGTTATTTAACAATTGTACGGTAAAAAATATACGTTTAGTATTGGTCCATAAAAGGATTCCAAAGTTACCATTCATTATGTT